TCGACGAGTAGGAAAAACGAGAGATACCGGATTTTCACATAATAATACATGATAATGTGTCTCAAGTATACGATTAACGCACGCTTAACGCAGAATCTTGCGGTTTCCGTCGGATTGCGTCGGACGACAACCAGAGGGAACATTAACTAGGAATTACGAAATATAAGCTGCCGATAAGATTCGCATAATGGTCGCCGAAGGGAAAAATATTTATTACCGCGAGCGTAACGTGCACGGTGGCCATTTTCCGTGCAATTTTTTTAAATTCACGTTAATGATGTGCTATTAAAATCTTTTACGGTGCTTACACGCAGAAAGTCTCTATTACATGCGAATCGCAACGGTCGCACGCGCCTCCGTGCGCTTAATAATTTCATCGCAAATACTTTACCCACGAACATCTATATTATACGTCATGGGAATCTGCCTATCGAGCCTACGGATCTCGCAGTGGCGAAGTCGTAGTCCCCCTGTCGAGTCAATTATCTATTGCATTTATCGCGATTCCTCTAGTCTACATTTAACGACATTAAAATCTGCCTTCCATACACACATTAATAATTGATGTCTCATGCGTGCTTGCTCTGGAATAAAATTTCTCACAATGGGAATATACGCGAGAATGAGTCATACTTATTATCGACTTGATAAATACATAATATGTATAGAAACTAACTATTAAAACATTGATTAATCTGTCATATAATTCAATCATGTAACATTCTCGTATTAAATATATTCCAAATGACACGATTATTTTCGATATTAAAAAAAAGTTATTTTGATTTTCATAAATTTCAGAAGGCTAGAAATCAATTTCTTAACCCCTCTTGAATCTCCTAGATTAAATAAATGTCATAAAAAGCGGTAAATTAGCAGTAGTTTAATTTAATTTCTTCTGTTTGCCTACATAAATAGATTGATATCAGAAAAAGAGATAACAAAAAATATTGGTAACACGGATTTCCTTAACTTTGGTTACGTAATATATTCCGTGTATAGAAAACATACATATTTACGTAAAAGTCGCGGTTATTAAATGTTATAAATATCCTATCTTTGCACATTATTAATAAATCTGTAAAAGTTTAATATAATGCATCAGTATTACTTACATCACTTATTAAAAGAAAAAAGTAAAATTCTTTTAATTTATTGAAACTAACCTGATTATATGAAGAAGCTTACGTTTCGTGCTACACAAAGATTGATTTTTGTAGATATTATAAAATTACAAAGGAAGAGATTGCACATGTCTCACTTTTCCTAAATATTATTACGGATCAATTGTCTCTTTTCAAAATTTTTTCAAAATCAAGTCCATTAATTAGTCGATTTTCCAACGTGATTTTCCCGGCGAAGAACGCGCGTACATCCGCACCTATGCGAGGCGCGTAAGCGGCAGTAAATAAAGAGACCGTGCCCCGTACCAATGACGTCATCCTCGCCGGATCCAAGATGGCGATCGCGTGTTCACCAGGCGAAATCGACAGCGAGGCAACGGCGGCGGCAGCAGGACCGGTTTTCGAGGAGGCGGTACCACCGTCGCCGCCGCCGCTGCCGCCGCCGCTGCCGCCGCCGCTGCCGCCGCCGCTGCCGCGTCGATGTATAGCCGTATTGGCCGCAGCGTGCAATTTCGTTGTTTGGCCGAAAAGTCAAAGTTGCGAAACCGTGCACGTCGGATATGCTACTTATGCGACTGCTATATTGCACTAACAGCCGCCTTCGTAACTCAAACTTGTACGAGTGGTATTAGGTTCTGTCACATTTTTTTTCATACATGGTTTCTTTGGATCATCTGATGAAGCACACACAAGTATTATCATAATTGATAAGTGAAAAACTTTATAATTCAAACCAAGAGCAAAAACCGTTTTTTTTTTCGCGAAAGTATAATTTCAATTTTGTTATAAGAATATTTTATACCAACCGTTTTCAATATTTAAATTAAAATAAAATTAAATGACAATTAAACAAGTAATAAAATTAAAAAGATTTTTTTTATTAAAATTTAATTTTGCAGTTTTAAATTTTGAATTAATTCGAAATGCTTAATTTTTTACATCTTGCATAATTCTATTAGTCGTAAATTATTAGTAAATAAATAAAATTTCAACTCGAAATGAATTTAATGTAAAGCTAAAAATTTATATATAACAAAAAGAAATTCTCTATAGTCTAAAAGAATTTAATTTAAGTTCATCGTAAGATTCTCATACACGAATGAAATAAAATAATAAATAAAAAATAAATGAAAAACAGCGATATGAGCGCTGCATTGAAATCCCTCTATCAAAGAAAAGGCAATCGCACAAAGAAAGGCAATCGCTGCTTCGAAACGGTGCTTCATCGGCAATAAAAACGATGTCTCCACGTGTCGACCTACGCGTTCGCGGACGTGATTTTACAATGTCATTACCGTAAATTTCCACGTGAACCGTGATAGCCAACAGAGAAACCGGAATTCCGAATAGAGCGAGAATGTGACTGAATCTCCGCACGCGCGGGAACGGATCGCGTGTGTGAGCGTATCACTTCCGATTAACGCCTCTCCCCGTCATCATAGTAAAATTTTCTCAAGCGACTAATTCGAAAATCGATACGGCGCCGCGGGTGAGACGAGGCGCGGCGCGGCGCGGCGCGGCATGGCGTGGCGTGGCGTGGCGTTCCCTCGGAGATGCGTGGCCGTGCGTATCCTGTTCCGCGTAGAAGCCGAGACACGCGTCCGTCGCATACATCGCACACCTCACATGAGATAGCGGATGTCAGTGGCGTAAGCGCGGCGTTTTCCACGTTTCTTTTTCCTCAAGCGCACGACCTATGTCTACTTGTCCGAGATGCTTACGCTATTTTTGCCGAAATAACGGCAAATTTAACATAACTGCACATATTTCGAATCAAATTCTCCAAATCAATCTGACTCCAATTAAAGAAATATATTTGTACAGTGAAACAAAAAATAAGGGGGCGCTATTACTAGTAATATACGAATCAAACTCCAAATTAATTTTAAAGAATCCAATTAAAGAAATATATTTATATAAGGTAGAACAAAACATAAAGGGCGCCATTACTGGTAGTATGTTTTGAAAATTTTTTTCGTGGTCTGTATTCAGACGTCATAAACTCGGTAATTGTTGAATTTTTTTCACTTAGCGCACATCGTTTAGACTTTCGAATGACTATCGAACCCGCTTGCTTTTCTATGGATCCCGTTTGGATCATCGCCGTCTTTTGAACGATATCGATGCTCGATTCATCCATCATTGATGAATATATAAAAGCCTTGCACACGAAGTGTATAGAATGCACGTTTGAAAGTGCAAACGTTGATTATCGATCCATTGATCGATTACTATACTGACGGGACGCCACCAATCAAACGGAACTCTCGGCGGATAGCGAGAATTCTTTAAAAATACCTGTCGCGATCGTTCGCGATCTACGTCTTTACTTAAGACCTTCAGTCAGTTCTGACTCGTAGTTTTCTAGTTTACATTGATATCGGTATCGCGTTATTGGCTTATCTGCTGCCGCTTTAACTTTTAATACCGTTCACCTGGCGTCTATCAAGTCATTTACTTGAAACATGTTTTATTTCTATTCCTGTACTTTTACTTTCGCGTCAGAAAAGTAAAGTTTCATTTTCTATATTAATATTTTCACTTAAATGTCATTACTTGAAATTATTTCGAGTTATAATTTTTTATGGAATTATGTTGCGGTTTTTTTATGGAATTATGTTGCGGCAGTGAATTATGGTTCTCATTGTTATCCATTTTAACAGAATTTAGCGAACGTACGGAACTAGTAGTATACATTATTAAAGAGAGCACAAATACGCATGAATCTTCTTTCGCGATACTCCGTTTTCCTAGATCAAAATCTTGACCAAAGGAATGAATATCTTGTATCCGAGTCCGTTACGGGAGTATCTAGCGAAAGGTCGATACACTTGCTGCGAGTATTCGATACCCCCCGCAAGGATAATGGAGAAAGGAATGCGAGCTATTCGTTATCTTTGAAATCAGACATTTAATACAACAATCTGAATATCTTTTTCACAAAGATGAACTGAACTCGTCATTTCCGTATCTGAATTTCGCCTAATTAAAAACAAGACTTGGAATATATCCGCCGGACGCAATGTGTTTTCGGCTGTCGCGAAAAATCAAAGCCGCACGTATCTCCTTTGCATTTCCGAACAAATCGATGTGGCCCTTGAGCATCGGGGTCTCGCCGAAATTACCGAAATTGGCGCAACGGGGGAGATTTTTCAGTCTGAACTGCCGCTCGCTTTCGTACTCCTGCACAACGTCGGCAGGCGCGAAGGTCAACGAGTTTTCTACGCGAGCGAGGAACGTCTATAGCGTGCGGGGCACCGACGCGCGCGCACGCGCGCGCGCGTGAGCGCAGCTTACTCACGCTCACAAAATTGCTACCGGAGGCTACCCTGCGGCTCTTCCCCATCCGGAGTTAATGAGCGCGTCTTTCGCGCTGACAGTCGACGACCTCGTCGAATTCTCCTTGGCGAACCGCGAGAATCACACACCGTGTCGGGAACTCTCGCCCGACCTCGATTCGTCCGATGCTGTCAGCGTTGAGATCACCATTCAGCGTGACAGGCGGACAAGCTAAAAGCGAGCACGAGACGGGCATCTCCCTTTCAGAAAAACTCAGCTGCGGGATAACTGCGAGAGTAACCGCGAAGAGCCCAGAGATTTGCGAATCAATCGAATAGATTTTTCTTATCGAAAAATCCCCGCTTGATTCTCTTTCTTCCCGGTACCAAATCGCGTAGTCACCGCTGGAGCTCGCGGGATCGCGACATCAATCGGAGGATCAATCCTCGTTTATTTCGAAGACTTTCTAACGATTCTGTTCCCGACGCAAAACATTTCGCGAGGGACGACTCGCGTCGCGACGTTGGACGTCCGAATCGCGATTCGAACCCAGGGGTTCCATCCGGGAAATGAAAAATAACACACGGATTCTCCTACCTCGTCGGCGTAGCGCCGTGTTGCGTGCGTGCGGGGCCTGCGGGCCCACTTCCGAGGGAGGGGGGGGGCTCTCGAGGGAGCTGGCGTGCGGGCGATATACGCTCCTGCCGGGATCTCCGCGCGCAGGTAAATATCTCGTCTAAGCGCGATCGCGCGGCCACGACTGAGTCCGTTCTCCTGAGAGAGCGTTTCACCTGCGACGACGGAGCCCCCCTCGACGGCCTCGGCACGACGCGCGAACTAAACCCGCCGCGCCGCCGCCTTTTCCTCTCCCACTCGCGATCGCGTCGCGTCGCATCGCGTCGCCTTGCGTCGCCTTGCGTCGCCTTGCGTCGCCTTGCGCTGCACGCAGCGGCGGCCCCCCCCGTGCCTTTGTACGCTCCGCATCCTTTTCACTTGCGATACCCCACGTTCTGGTCCGCCACCTATTCGCGCGATCGTACCCCTCGGGATCGCCGACCCCGCAGCATCCGAGTGACTCGCCCCTTTCCTCCTTCCCCTTCCCCTTTTCCCTCTTGACAAATCGTGGGAGGCGAAACATCTTTTTTTCTACGGTCAGCGAAACGGGACGGGTTGCGGACAGGTGCGATGATAGGGCGCTGGCGACCGACCCTCTTTCTTTCGGATCCTTGCCGTTGATCTTCGTAATTTATCTTTTCCTTTTCTTTTCGACCGCTTCTTTCACGGAGTGAATCGTAGATCAAACGATCATGATTAATCTTCGTATCGCTATCTGCTGATTTATAGTTTGTAAACTATAAGGTACGAGATCGAATTGGGCAACACACACCGGATTCGAAGCGATTCGTTTTAATATCTTTTACGACACTCGTGAACATACGGTAACATACGTGTCCTATGTTTGCAACGAAGAAACGGAATATCTATTTATTTAATGACATCCTTCGCGTCCCAGAATACGGATCGATCATCGATTATACACGAATCATCAGACCTTTGAACAATCATCTCGTTTGAGTTTCAACTCCGAGCGGAACGGATCTCGCAAGGCGGGCGGGCGATAGACGCGATAGGCATTTAACGAGTCCTTTTGACAACCGGCGGCTTCCCGACTGATGTCCATTACTTCGGAGAGGGGGAGAGAGAGAGAGAGAGAGAGAGAGAGAGAGAGAGAGAGAGAAAGATGGATTCGCGATGTCCCCGGGCGACATACGGGACGTAGCTCGTTTCCCAACTTCCAGCGTGCCCAGAACCGCTATTCGTTTTCGCCGGATGATTATTCCACCGCGCGGAGACTAGCGTGGAATAATTCTCCTCTCGCTCTGTTCGTGACAGCCTGGCTCTGGCCTGGCCGCCACGTCGTCTCTGAAGGACGCAAAACGCTCTTTCGCAACTCACGCGAACGTCCCGCTCGCGAATTCGTGCCCCGACACGCAGCTCGAGAAAGACCGAAAGACTGAGATTTGGCTCGCGCAGCTCCCTGCCCCGCGGGGAAATCTCTTTTCCATTTATCCTCACGAAGTTGCCTCGCGTGTTTTGCCGTTGACATTAAAGAGCAAGTGCACTTATAGAGATGTAAAATGCACAATGTTGCGTCCTCCCATCACATCACGTGATTGTTGTAATAGCTAATTTAACGTTAAATTTAGTCAAATATCTAGTTTTTCTAAAAATATAAAAATGAGAATTAATCGCAAAAAAATGATGTACGAAATATTGTAAATCATTTTTATTTAACGTTTTTCTGAGACAGAGCGAAAAGTGATCAAGTCTAAAAAAAAGGCCACGGCTTCAACAATTTACAGGCGTTTCCCCGATTGCCCGTCCTTTCAACTTTGATTTCAAGCACCGCGGTCGGTTTGTCCGGGAAAGACTCTCTCTTTGTCGTTTGCCTATCTTCGTCTTTCCTTTGATTTCCATTTTCACGCTCGTTTCATCGTTTGCCGAAAAGGCGAACGACGAAATCGCAGATCCGTCGGCCATCCGGGAGAAAAACGGATGGCGGCTGGCGATCACGCGATGTCGATGATAAGGAATCGCGACGATCCGCGCTGAACAGAGAGAGAAAGAGAAGAGAGAAAAAGAGAGGAGAAAGAGAGAAGGCGGGGGCGTGGGCGCCCAAGGCCTTCTGCTCGCCATTTACGGCCCGGCGTGGCCGGACACGGAAGACTCGCGGGGTAAGGGAAAGAACGACGAGAACCCCGCGATGGGAGCGAGGACAACGGGTGGCGATGTAGCGAGGAGGGGGCGGAGGGAGAGGGAGAACGAGAAAGATCAAAGGGGGCAAGAGAGAAATGGATACTACCGTCTCAGGCCATTTTGGTCGCGTTGCAAACTGGAAAGACCACTCGAAACTCCGTCAGCGAAACGCGTTCCGCCATTGGCGGAACGGACGATGGGATTCGTCGGATCGTTTTGCGCTCGGCTCCAGGATTCACCAAGCCAAGTTTTTGTCCTCCAACCTTTTGGAGTTCTCTCGCGATCTGAGTCTCGATGGTTGACGCCAACTTTATTTCGCGCGACACTTTGCCCGATTGGTTTGGAAATCCGCTGCCTGGTGGAGAGAAAGAGAGAGAGATATATAGATGAGTGAGCCTTTATCGCTCGGTATGGTAATCCTGTGGGATTATCAATACACGCACGAGTTTAATAGCCGTTAGAATAGAACGATTAATTCACGTTGCGAATTCGAAATTGCGCGCATTTGTCACAACGTTCGGAACATTATTGCACCACAATCTAGCAAAGCGATTTACGCAATTTATTCGCGACAACGGTAGTTAGGGTGCTCGTAAGAGCACGTCCCGTGTACATAGTAGTTAAACAAATCGCCTCTGCTCCTTAATATTTTAGAAATAAAACAAAGTGGGAAACGTCGCCCTACGATTTCTGACTTAATCAAGGCTGGATGTATCAAGAGATTTTCAATTTATACGTCACGTCTTAATCACCGGTTCTCACCGGTGAATGTCAATCAGGTGCTCATTTTCTAGACCGTTTCGATAAGGTACTATGTCTTCTACTTTTCCTCGGCTCGGAGTTAATCTACGTGTATCGCATCTACGTACGCTAAAGGGATTAATATAGCGGCGGCCGCTGGCAACACCGCGCGCAACGAAGCTCGTAAATTCCGTCCAACGCGCGTCGCGGACCGACGTATCATCTAGGATACGCACGATCATCCTTGCATAACGATTATGCGGCGTGACTCGTCGAGAGTCCCTTTAAAAAGACTCTCGCGGAGAAGCGGACGCGTCGCCGCGTGAGCGAAGTGTCGAGGTATCGCCCGTAGGAGTGACGGCTAACGCGTCATCGCTAAATCGCCGTCTTTTCTTTTTTCCTCTCCTTCCCCTTCCCCGCTACCCCCTCCCTCCCCCCCTCCCCTCGCCGCAATTCGCCGGACACTTTCGAATCCCACGAGAAATCCCGTAAAGCGACTTTCACGATCCGCTACCAGCGAGCGAAACGCGACACCCAGGCGTGCTGTGCTTCCACCGGCGTGCGTTTTCCGCGTGCATTCGTCACGATGCACGCGGACTCGTTTCTCGGATCTCTGTTTGCGCGCCGCTGCTTTTTCCTCTCTCCCTCCCCTCCCCCCCCCCCTGTAATGTCGATTACTTTTACCGCATCACTTGCCACTGACGCAAGTTACGTCACCGCCGTAATGCCGTCGCTTAAAAACCCGAATCGCGCAGTGACCCTTCACTTTCACACACGATGTCCTTGGACCGGATTAAAAGAGAGTCGAAATTTATCTGACGAAAGAAATAACAAAATACGTGTAAAAAAAAAAAAGAAAATATCTCGCAGTTTGGACGCGTTATATTTGTTTCCGCTCCAATTTTTTTTTTTCATGAATATAAAATCGGAGCGACACGGAGAAAGAGCATAATTTTAGGATTAATTAACTTTTCAGATTTTACATTTTTAATTCGTCAAACGGAATTAAGTTATTTAACTTTTTCCCATACGATTTCCTTCCATCCATGTATCACAATGTTTAAAGGAGAAATACCTTCGTGAGGAAGAAAAAGGTAAAAACGCGCTAAAGAAACACGTTAACAATTTCGAACTTGAGAAAACAACGGCCGGGAGGGGGGGAGGGGGAGCGAGGTGTTTTTCAGGTTCTTCAGGTTCTAATTTTCGACGAAAAACTCGAACTTATCGCCTGGTATCGCCCGCGGCCGGGCAGTTTCGCGATCCGGGTCCGAGGAGAACTCTCTTTGGCAGAGGAGGGCAATGGACCGGTTGGTCCTCTCTCGCCATCGCATTTCCGAATATGGCAACGCGCATCCCGAAGTGCTGCGGGCACGACGCAACTCGACGCGCTCGACGCGCAACTCGAACATATTTCAAGCCGTGCCGAAATCACACACGACGCGAACGCGCTTAACATCAATTGCATTTTAATAAAAATAAATCGTTCGATGATCAACAAATTCAAATACCTCCTTCACCTTTTTCAAATTTTCACTTACCTAGAATTCTTGATCATGCGACAAAAGACAGCTGTGAGAGAATGTTGTTATAATTATTTTTATTCTAATATGAAGCGAATGAAAAATTAATTGGTATTTCGAAAAGTACGAAAATTACAGGAAAATTCACAAAAATTTATATCAATTGGTAGTGTGCGTGAATATAAGAAATAACGAAAGTAATTTATTATTACAGATATTTATAGTGTGTTAATATACATTGCTGAGATAATGTGGTACTTGATATTTAAAAATTGAAAAAAATTATAAGAAAGATCAGAAGAGAAAAATTAGAGGAAATAAAATGTTTGAATATAAGCCGGTGAGACAAATGAAAAGCTTCGTTTCTTCACTTCTAGAAGAAATCTTGGTTTATTGATTAAATGAGAATAATCAACGCTTTTAAGCTGCTTGTAAATCTAATGTGCTATTAAAATATTTACTTGATTCGAAATTATCATCGATGAGAATTTTATAAATTGCGGGCATTAAAGGAAATTAAATAACATGATAAACTTACAAAAACGTGATAGCATTTCGGAATCGTTAATTAATATCACAAAATTAACAACATTTAAAGTTTCAAGGTAACGTACCTTTATTTTGGACACTATCTTCATCTAAAGAAAACGAAGATAGAGATACAGAAAAATCGATCGTATCGATCGGTGGCAGTGTGTCCGTCAATAAGATGAACTCGCGATTGATAATTAAGTTACGTAGAGTATAGCGACTAGACTACATATTACGTTCTTGCATTAATGGATCGAGTAGAAGAATCTTTCCTTCAAAAAGACACGAATCTAAACTTTCCATCAAAAGAGATCGTCATAACAATGCCCGAAAAATACGGTTACACAATGATCTTTAATTAATTAATCCCTTCCTTTTGTATCTCTCTTACCTAGTACATATACTTGCGAAACACGGCACGATCAAAGTGTTAAAATAATTCGAAACAATTATACGAAGCGTCCATTTAACATCTCGGACGCTTCTTATAGTCTAAAGTTAACTTACAAAGATCTGAATATATCGACGCACGACGGGGATTTTACTTTACTCCCTTCTAGAATATTATACTTATTACAAGACAAGTAAGAGCACGAGAAATAGAGTCATCTAAATATAATTTAAAAAATAATTTATAAAAAATAATTTATGAGACTCGTGGATTTTACTCTCTTACGAGAGATTTCGTTGTCTCTCCACGAGAGACTCTCCATTACGATTGCTGATTCTAAGGCATTTGATGCAGCGGATACAACAAAGTTAGAGTAAAAGGCATATCCCGTGCGGCGATACGTTCGGTGTACTGGCACTCTTTCACGATTCTGTCTTTCGACGACGCGGGAGCAAACACGAGGGCATAAAGATTTCTCTGCGGTCGATGCTGCCTCGATCCTGGCCGGTGCGATATCGTCCGTTCGACGACCCGCGCCGCCAGTTTCCAAAGTGTCTTTTAACGAGTGCTGCTATCCACGACGGGACGACGTTGCGTCTCTTGCCGAGTGCAGCAACACCAGCGGTATAGTTTTGGTCCTTTTCATCGCTCTCTCTCTATCTCTCTCTCTCTCTGGCGCGCGCGCGCACACGCGCGCCTCTCCTCCGCCGCGCGTCTCTGTCTTTTCATTCGCCAGAACGGCTGAATCCGCCCGAGTGCGACCGGGCACTGAAACCGGTATATAATTTCGACGAGTTCAGTTCCCCCGTGCTGCGGGACGCGGCCAAACGCCGCGTTTTTACCTTATCAGCCGTGTCGCTTTTCGTCGTCCACAAGTGGAGAAGAAAGTCAGGCCACGGGAACGGGATACAAAAAGCAAACATCGTTTTTCCTTTCTTTTAGGAGAACGCAAAGATTACGGACGCGGACGCGGACACATCGTGTCCGTATATCATCATTGGAATGCGCATGAATTTTAAACGTGAATATAACACGTCGAACTAAACGCTCAATTTCGTGAAATATCGAAAGCATACAATTGCGTATCTTGTATCTCTACTGTCTCCTCTGAATATCCGAATATCATCCCTCGTCCTGCGCGTCCGCAGCATCGAGATCGATGAACTCGCCGAAACTGCACGTCGATTTACGATCCCCGGGGATGACTAGCAAAATCGTGTATGTGTGTGTGTGTGTGTGTGTGTGTGTGTGTGTGTGTATGTGTGTGTGTGTGTGTGTCTCTTTCTTTAAATCTCTTCTTTAAATTCCACCGCAAAAATCTTCGCGGACGCGTCTTCGGCGTTATCGCTGTCGCATCGCTTCGAGCAACAATTGACGGAAGGGGAGGACGCGTCTCTTCGCGAGGCCAAGTCCGCGGGTCCTCGGGGAAGAGCCGTCGGCTCGTCTTCTCAGGCTCCGGCTGCGATCGCGCATTCCGCGCTGTCTCCGGATGCGTCGGCGACCACCGCGCGATGCGGATAGGCGAGGCCAGGACTGCGGCAGCGGCAGCGGCGAATCGAACGTGCCGGCCCTCCGAGGCAACCTGCAACAATAATCGTCCGACTCATGGCGCGCATAAAGCGATTGCGTAGATTGCATCGGACACGGTCAATTGATCTACGGACATCGCGCCGGGACACGCCGGAGTCTCCGGACTGCTTAGTTAGTTGGCAGGTGAAATCGTGAGCGCGCACGTGCCTGACGCGCATCGTTTTCGTTGCGAGACGGCCGCAGATTGTTCGAGATGTGTGCCGTTACAATGTGTTACCAAACAATACTTATAGACCGCGTGCTTCTTTCAAGGCGAAGCCACTTTGAATCGCAACTCGTATCGGTCGTCTCGGAATGGAAAGCTATATGCTCGAGTAATAAGTTACAAATTGCAAATTTGGATTATTCTCAGAATTTAGGATTACTTCAACGAAGTGAAAATTTGTGACCCGATGCAATTCGCTAGAAATAACTGATATTGATATCGTATCGATACACATTCGTTTTGCTCCCAATCCGAATCTCTATTCAGAGAATACCTGCATTGTTGAATGCATCTTAAAGTAATTGATATAAAATTTAACACACTATCCATATCCATTTCTACCAATGTCTATTAATTTTAATTTTGGTTTTATTTATTCTTTATCTCTTTCCAATTCTTAGAACTGAAAAAAAAAAGTTAAAGTTAATTAACCGGGATTAAAGTTAATTTATATTGATGAAACGAACGAGACTGATAAAAACAACTAAATATACTTATAGAAAGTACAATTTATTTTATAAATATTAAAAAAATGACATGCTTATTTTCGCGTATCGAGAAGCACATCGCACGATGCGCTTGCATCTTCTATATAAAATTAACATTGTTGCGAGCTTGGTAATACCAGGACCATTCAGTAATATCGCAGTTCAGTATCGGCGATAGAAGCAAATCCGCTTAACGTCGACGATTACGGCGTACGTTCCCTGGCACGTACAGATATATCACGTAGGCGATGTACGCCGACGATACTTGAAGGAATTCAATATGTTTCTGAATGCCGGTGTCATAAAGAGCAAGTTATTCAACGAACACCTACGCGAGCGCGAACGAGAACAAGGGGAGAGGCTCACCTCGATCAGGCTTCTTGAAGCTCGCCCTTCACTCCCGGTACGCCATGGTGATGCCTCGAGGCGAGCTTGTTCGCCAATTCGTGCATCACGTCTCTATATATCACGGTGTCCAAATTCTCGCCCAGCATGTAGAGGAGAAACCAATCGCCAACTTTGCTGCGACGCACTATAGTCTCCACGGCGTCTCTCCGTACCAAGCGAAACCTCATTCGCAACAGGTAGACCCTCGTGCGCGGCGAAAATATTATTATGATCTGACAATAAACAACAAATTACGTTACGGAGGAGAAAAAAAAAGATCCATATTGACTGCAATTTTTTGTAAAGTTGTAAAACTTGAAATGAATGCCTGTGGCGCCCTTCGTTGAGAGATAAGAAATTATATATATTCCTCAAAACGCAATTATTTATAAAATCTTTGTTTATAAAATAAAAGAGAAATAATACTTTTTCCACTGGATTACTGACTCTGTACAAAACCGTGAAGAAACTGAGCACGCCGAGGAAAAGGAACCAGAACCAGAGAAAGACATAGATCTTTTCGTTGACGACGTTTAAAGGCAGTATACAGACGGCGTCGTGTCTCTCGACTTCTCCGCTGACGCCGTACTTGTAAAACGTGCATTTGGTCATTCTTGGAAAGACGTAAATCATTGGGTCCACTCGGTCTTCCTGATCGGATTCGAGAAACTTGAGTACGTCGATGCCGAAGGTCAAGAAGGCGCCGTCGAAGAAGCGGTTCATCAGAAACATCTGACCTGCGACAATGTGCTCGTTGCTTTACAATTTTTCGTTTCATTTCTGTCTGTTCTTTTCTCGAAGCAATTTCATTTATAAAGACAAAATAACCGACATTAATAAACCGAACATTACAATCGATTACACAATTAATCTCCATTGCTTTTCTACAAAAGACTCGTACAATAATATCGAAGATGAGATGACAAAAGATTTATTTGATCAATGTTAGTGACCGTAAATATTAAATGTAACGAGTAAAATTCACATAAATATCGAAAGTAATATCCGTAATTGCTTTAGAGCGATTTCGTATCCGGTTCTCAGAATATTGAATCATAAGCTTACATTTAATCACATTATGTATGTGATGTATATACATATGTTTTTGCGGTTTTCATAATTGATTCATTCGCAAGATTAACCGATCGAATTTCCAAGTACGTTGATAATCTTATGATGATATTCAATCTGGAAATGGAGCGTAATAGACATCGCATAAAATTGATGAGCTATCTCATTGCAAATCGGGTAGTCAAATTCACAAGCGGTTGGCCAGCTGTATCGCTGCCAACTTTTACTGTGAATCATTCATTCATTCGTCGCTCATTATACGTGGACTTTACTTTTTTTAACGCGTCTACATTTGTGAAATTAACAGGCGCACAGGCCAGTTTGGATCTTTATCAAATTCCGTTTTCTTCGATGATATACGAGTTTCCTTTTTTTTTTATGAAATAATTGCATTATTGTAAATTTGCAATTTTGCACACGCAATTTTAAAACTTTGTAAATTGCAAATTTATAACATGATTAAAAAAATCTTTCATTACTATACCGTTTTAATACAAATTTATATACTTATATACAAATACTGATATTAATTTATATAGGCATATAGACGTTTAGAAACATAACTGAAATATAAATTAGAAATATAACTGTATGCACAAATTTCAAGATTTTAGTGCACAAAAATCAAGAAACAATTTCTCAAAAATTTGTATAATATAGTTTGGACGTTTGTAATTAAGAACAATTTTGGTAGATATTTAACAGTTTTTATTAGTAGTACTTTTATTCGTTTCAGTGAAATTATTTGCGATACGTCTCCTTTGGTTGTTATCACGATTTTTTTCATTCCAATTCCACTATATACAGTTTCTTTAGCAACGAAAGGGAAACGCGTTAAATATCATTCTTAAGCGCATTCTGGTTTATATTTATCGATCGTAAACGGAAGATGACGCGGTGACCCGTTAGGGTGTGCGAATTCCGGGATTCTTTCGTGTTACGACATCACGACGGGGACGCGCGTTGTTGATCAAGGCGCTCAAACATTGACGAAGAACTCGACGCGGACCGGAAAAAAAAAAAAAAAAAAAAAAGAAAGAAGCGCAGGCTACTCACCGATGACGTTCAGCAGCGCGAGGACCTCGCATAGGTAGTACCTGTAAGCCCACCAATTGTGAAAGCGAAGATTCTCCCAGAGGTAGTCGAGTAGCATTTTCTTCTTTTGTTTCTTCTCCACTTCGGAGCAGAGCCCGATGTCGAGATCCATCATAAGGGCATGAATCTTGCCACCCTCCCATCCTTTCCAGAGCCAGCGAGGGGTGTAGAAGAGGATCGCCTGCGAGCAAAGTGGCGAGTAAATAAATACCGACGAATCGACCAATCGCTGATATATTACGGGGAGTTCTAGTCGCCGAAGGCGGACCTACTTACGACATGCGAGAGGAATTATCATTATTGTACCTCGCGCCTGATAATTGCTGATCACAAAACAATGCGTGGCCGCTCGTACGCGTTTGCGAGCGAAATCCTACTTTATAAGCTTTTGGCGTAGACAACACCTAACTATTTCCTCTCGAAAGGCGGGAAGTACCTCGCGATCTTTAATTATTTCGAATCGTTATTGTTTATCACGATTAGCTATCTACGAAATTGCATTCGGATCATTACTCATAATATAACAGCGCCGTAATGAATTAACAAAAAATTTAATTGGCAAAATTTAATTTGCGATCAACCCCCCCCCCCCTGCGGTTAACGTCATTTTATTGGGAGTCGCCTTTATATTACTCTTACTTTTGTAATTTGATCATAGACTACGGATCAATTTAATTGACAACGCTTAGCGAATATAGATGTTGTATAAACTGTCGGGAGATTTAAATTGAATTTCATTGTTTAGCTCCGCGATGTTTTATTAACTTCCCTCCCCCCCCTCCCCCTAACACTTTTATTCAATATATCTTAGAAATGACGTGGCAGGTGTTGGTAGTCACGCCGGGAAGGATAATCCGTGTCCTGAAATTGAATCGAGGCAACTTTATTGCACATTAGAAATTTCCGAAGCGATGTCAATGCACTTATCGAGACCACGATGTGGGAGTAAACCCTTTCTCACGGTATATAAAGCTCTCTCTGGCTTATCGCCAGGGGCCTCCCGGCCGTGCTTGCTGTAGTACACGATCGAATATAGATACGTACGCTCGTCGCGCGTTACCCCCCCTTACGACGAGGTGTTGGCGAGCGTTCAGAAAATTCGAACTAAATTGCAATTTGCGGAAAGCTCGGATGATTGTTAATGAAAGTACGGCAGTACGTGCTTGAGACGTACGTCTCGGAACTTTAATGGGTTCCCCAAAACGCTCTATTCGATACCTATCACATTGTTTCCGAGAAGCGCAAAAACGACGTTATTACCTTTGGCTTGGAGACAAACAAAACACGAAATAACAATAAAATTCTATTTCGCGGACTATTAAGCCTCCTCTACAACAATATAATCTATAAAATTTGCGCATTCGACATTCTCGACGCGCGAAATGTCTGTTGAAAATACAGTTTAGGGAGCTCCAGGATGAAATTATTGTAGAAATAATATTTTATTTGTGACAAATTTTTACTTAAAATATTGGGCCAAAAAATATTTTGATAACAATATTTTAATGCCATCTGAGTTAAAAAAAAAAAGGTCACACCTAACGATGCTAGCAGCTCCTCGATAGCTCTTGTAGTAAAAAAAAAAAAATTTACACGGATAATATAAAGCTATAATGGACATTATGTAACTTGTTTAATAGCTTTTAATGTACACGGTTTACGTATCGGCGACAGGATTCTTTAGAATGGGTGGTCTGACCTCGCTCTTGACAAGATTGCGAAGAAACGTAAAACAAACGCGCATGTCAGACCGATTGTACGATTCGCAGCTTTTAGCATTATCGCGAGAGAACGCCTGCGTATAAAGAGAAAAGGAAAATGCGTAACCGAAAATAGAACTGTTCCTCTCTTCGTCTCCCTTCCTTTCACCAACCGGGATCGAACACAACCACATTTACTGCCCTGCTAAGAGGACATTTGTATCTTCCTTTCGACGTTCAAACTCATAGATTTGCATAAATTTCCTTAGATATGCAAATAAGCTGGAACACATCGATGATTATACATTTGCTATTTATTTTTCCAAATATAAGCAAAATAAAATAATATTCTAATTAATTCTGTACTCCACAAACTTCCATAAATTGTGCAATCTTGACGAATCATGGGAAAACAAGCAAATTAAATTGAAACTTGAGAACTTGTTAATCTAAAATATATGTCTGTTTTTCAATAGAACTGATCTTGTAAAGAGATAAAATGGTCGTTAAGGGAATTTTTTCGTTCAAAATTCTTATCTTATACAATTGTTGGAAAGAAATATAATGAAGAATTTAAATCTAAGAAATATAATTTAGAAATGTATTTTTAATACATATAATTTAATTTATATAAGATAAATAATACTTGTTTGAAAAGAAGGAATGGTGAACATGCCATGGTTTCCGACCGATGTGTAGCACCTCTGTGTCACGTTAACCCCGAGTAAATTTAGCTAAACAAGGCGAAAGAGGTTGGAATCTTGAAGAAAAGAGGAACGAAGATGGAAAAGAGAAGACAAAGAAGTTCTCCTTGCTACACTTTTAACGCGCATAAAAATAAATGTAACGTAGAACATAATTAATTCCATCAAAAAATTTTGTTACATGTAAATATTTTAATTTCAAATATGAACGGTAATGTTATATAAACATTAAAAATATAAGTTTCCAAAGCAAAGACATTTGGCAAATAATAATTTAAGAAAAAAAACCACGTTTCTATTAAAATTTATTATTGCATATTGCTGTTATTTAACTGTTATCGAAAATAATTATAAAAATCCTTTCCTTTGGGTATTCACATTGTAGTTTGTTGTCTCATAAAGTTTTCCTCCACTTCTTACATGTCATGTTTTCAATTATATTAAACGTTAATCGCGTTAGTGGTGCGTTTTATCAATTTATCAGCAACGTGCGACGTTATGAATGTTTTGTGTCAAACGTTGTCTAGAAAACACATTCAGATACGTAGCAATCAATTGCAAAATAAAAGGCGGATGCGCGATTAATCAAAGAGCGAGAGAGTTGTACGAACCTCGGACGTACAAATGGAGGATAGCGAGTCGAGAAAAAGAACGATATTGTACGTGCGCGAAGACGAGTAATGCTTGAGGTACTAGAGGCGGAGGTACGATCGAAGATAGCATCGAGGGTACATATGCATTTTAAAGGCAGAACCTATCTGTAACCTGTATTTATGTATTGACGTTACGAACAAGGATTATCAATCACGGATAAACGAATACACGCGTTTGCCGATCGTATGCTGCTCATCGGCGCTGATTCTGGACCTGCAACTCCCGGGACTATCTTAATTTAGAATTTATGAATACGCGATCGTTCTCGCATAATCCTTATTTAAATAAAATTTCCACTCTTCCATATTAAATCGTAAAACCAAAACACCAAAATTTAAATCTTTGTTTTCCAAAAAGTCCCGGCATGCGGAGAACAAGAATGACACACCCACAAAGATAAACGAAAAGTAACATTTATCAAGGAAATCCCAATATTTCTAGTCTGATTTATACTTACTATAGAAAAAAAATATATAATATAATCAAAAAATAAAATATCAGAAGGACGAATAAGGTATAAC